ATTGTAAGCCGTAGGATCGAGATCTTCATTTTCCACGATGTCCCTTCCCCTACTAGACTCAGTTCTGGAGGTTCGCCCTAGTATGGGCCATTCACTCTCTCCTGTTTTCCAACGAAGGAGCTGTTGCCACTATCGACTCGAGTGCCACTTTCTCTAGAGACAAATCTTCCTGGAAGGCACTGTACAAGCTTGTCAGCTCCTCATTCCCTGATATCCTACGACAAATTGAAGGTCTAGAGCTGACTTACAGCAGCACTTCCATAGAATAGCTCTTGGCCGCTTTCCTCGAAGGCAGTCGACTTTGTGGCAAGTGTTTCTCAGCTCTGTTCAATTTTTTTTACTCAGCTTACCCCTTCTTATCTGCCCTGGCAAGTGGCGATGCAGGGGTCATCGGCGTGCCACCTGATCGATGATAATATTACACACTCGTTCTGACATTATCAATCACTGGTTCAATTCTTCGCATACTGTTGTGGTTTCGGCTTGACTGCTGATATTCAATCACTAATTATTGATAAGTTGCATATAAGTTTGGGACCGTAAATGCATATTTTCCCTTCCCAAGTTTCAAAATGTTCATATTTTTTCAAGGTATTCAGCGCATTGTTTGAAGGGACACCTGATTACAAATAGGTCAAAAATTCGATTCCTCACCAAAGACAGCGTTTACAGATGTTCCTCGCTCTCCTCCTGGCATGTGGAGCGGCTGTTCATATCGCCCAAAGTAGTCCATTTTTTCTCTGGGGACTCCGTCTTTTGAAAAAAATGGACTACTTTGGGTAATAGAGCGTAAAAAGGCGTAAAAGGGTGGGGAAGGTGAGCGTAAAAGCTGAAACGAAGTAGTTCACTTTACTCGGGGTTTCGCCGCGCTGCAATATAAAGGGAGTATCGTAGGCGGCCGCACCACACCCCCTCCCCCTTACTGGTTGAGACCTATTCTTCAAATGAGATTTTTTTCAAGTACCTGACTAGTAATTTTTTCAAGTAGCTTGATATTAGTTTTGCTTCTCACGATTTTCTCTCGAAATGTGTTAAAGTCTTGATTATGACTTTCACCCATTGCTCAGCATCCTTGTGATAACACGCCGCCTGTCTTCGATCACATCCCGATCGTTGGACGAAAACGCGCCATGTCCAACACTGGGAAAGGTTCAACCAGCAGATCAACACGGTTGTTCTTCAGAGAAAAGAGGATGTGTTTTAGTTTTCCTGCTCAGGTCAGGTCACCCCAAATTAGGACATCACTGATTTGCTCGTAACAAGCCTAGAACTAAGCCTAAGCCCAACCCTCGGCTTGAAGGAATCTTTTCCGGAAAAAATCATGATTCTATTTCACCCATAATCACTGGCTTGAGACCCATCGTTCACGATAAGAACGAAAAGAACAAAAAATTGCATTTGTTTTGGTAAACAATTCGAAAAACCGAAAGGGCTGCTACGCGTTCAAATTCCCGCCGGACATCTGTCACAAATGCTGGCGACGGGAATGCTTCCACTTGGTTCTTGGAGTGCCGTCACTAGAAACTCTTTCTGGCCTTTTGACTTATTGCATTCACATCTCACACTTCTACTGCATCCTATTCTATCGATCGATTTGTCTCTACTCTCCAAAATCGAACGCTTTAACCCGATTCTTTCATTGCGTCGCCTGATACGTAGCCGCCCCAAGGCGCACTTCTTTCCATGGTCCGCCTTTGGGCTTCGCGCGACTACAGTAGCGGTCAAAAGTGTTCGCCGAAACGGTTTTCCGTGCTTCTCTTTTTTGCCAGAAAAAATCAATGGTGGCCTCGAAAAATTTTCTTTTGAATATCCTGATTCTTAAGACTTGAGGATATAAAAACACTAGAAAACATAGTATATCAATCTTTGGAGGGCGTTGCTCAAGCGAGAAAAAATAATGCACGAAAAATCGTTTCGGCGAACACTTTTGACCGCTACTGTACCTTCGACCGTCCATAGAGTGTGGTTTTCCGCGGGTTTGTTTCTCTTCGGAAACCGAATCTTTGTGCGTGAAACTTTGTGTGTTGTCCCTAGTGATCACATCTGACATATTCGTTCATGAGAATGCAAGGTTTTCCAGGGAGGATCCCTTCAGGCGTAAGCTATTGTATAAGCATAAGCCTAGGCCTAAGCACAACCTTAGGCTCCAATGGTCAGCTCTGGTGACCTGACTTAGGAGGAGAACTGATCGTCCAGGGAAAGATGGCGCGTGGTCGTTGCACTGTTCTGATTTCTCCGTAATAGGATAGTTTCAGCACGTGGCTGCCAATATTGATCCATTATTGCCGGTTCGGAGTCGTAGTTTATTCATTGCTCATTCGTTTCTTCCCTTAGCATCAAATTATATTTATTATGCTCAGCAAGCGTTTATCAAAGTTGTTTAGTGATAGCGTTTATGCACCCAATGTTAACCAATTCTTTCGTGTTGCACATATATCGGACTTTCCTTGTATGCAAAGAGGGAGAATACCCTCGCCTTCAAATGACCAGAAATTGTGCAATTGCAGAAATTGACGTGGCATTAACGTGGCATCGATTCAAGAACATCTTTGAGCACACGTGATGTCACCTTTTCATCGAGAATTTAGCCACGTGTGCCACGTGGATTTCTGGCTGCATGAAACAGAGTTACACTTGTTTAGCATTTCCTTGAATTGATACACTTTAATGACTGATTTTCTGCAACTGCCACAATAATTCTCGTCATTTGAAGGCGAGGCTATTTGCAAATAGGTTCCAGCTTACAGCCTCGATTATTTCCTAATACGGTGAAACTCCAGTTCGGGGGGGGCCACTCCATTGCTATCTTATCCGTAGTACTAGAGAGCAGTTCTTTGGGCTATCGAACACTACGGATAAGATAATAAGTGAACGACTCATTTCGAGCGTACTTTTGATAAGGACCGGTGGATGTCCTACATTCCACACTACCTGCCCACATCCCATCCACTTTTCTGCACAGGTGATCCACCCTGGAGCTCCTGCACCCTTAGCCCTTTGCGGAGGTGTCCTTTCTCCTGGTCCAGGACCGTTCCCTTGGGTCATGGCAGGCGGAAATGTGAAAACGTTTCAGGGTTTCTCACCCATTACACCAATATTTATCAGAAGTCTACTTTAAATGAGTCGATTACGTGTCGTGAGCCCTCTAATCCTTATCTTGAGTATTGGAGAAAAAATGGAGTGGCCCCCCCGAACTGGAGTTTCACCCCTAATGCTTTCACGCACCGCATAGTAGATAGCCATTCTGATTGACCACAAGCTAAGCCGTCTTGGGAGTACAGAGCAAACAATACAAGTGACGACTGTCACCGTAAGATATGATAGTATTCTGTAAACGAAATGATTAACCGATGACAGTTGCGTTCTATTCACTGTCACTAATTACAGCTACCCATTTATCAACTGTCAGCTGTCACTATGAACTATCAATTGTCAGATGCTTTGAAAGGCAAAATCTCATATGTTGTTTGGTCTGCATTACAGCCGCTATCTGGTTGCCGGATACGAAGATGTGTATCCATGTATACCACTAAAAGTTCGCTTGATCGCCCATTCGCCAAATCTCCTATCCACTTAAAGGCCTCGTTCATAGTTGGTGAATTGGTAGATTAGGATAGGAGATATTAGGAGAGTAGAAGAGCAGGACATTGCGCTGACAAAATTAGACACGTATTGATTGGAATCGGTGACGAGTACTCGATAAGGTGTCTTCAGACGAGTCGATCAATAACTATCTAATCTTGTT